AGTTCAGTCCCTGAGAACCCACACTAAAACAAAACGCAAAACTGGACAGAACAGTGCTTGCCTGTAATCCTAGCACCAGAGAGGCAGAAAAGAAAATCTTTGGTTTGCTGGCCAACCAGTCTGGCCCCATCAGCAAGCTCCAGGTTCAATGACTGTGTCTCAAAAATCAGGACAAGAATGACTGGGGAGGACATTCAGTGTTAACCTCTGGCCTTTGCGTGGGTGTGTATACACAGGAAGATGCTCAAGCTCATGGGCACACACACACACACACACACACACACACACAATTTTGAATCTGTTGAAACTGGACACAGCTTTGGCTTCCTAAAATATAGTGTTGTGATATAACCTCTTGATTAGAGCACCTTCAAATTTCAGAACTTATGTCTAAAGTCCTCTGTGTGTATGTTGCTGTAACAAACTATTAGAGATTGAATCATTTATAAAAACCAGAAATTTTCTCATCATTTTGGTAACTGGGAAGCTCAAGGTCAAGGCAGGTTCAGTTGAACTGGCTCTCTACTTCCAAGATGACATCTTAATGTGGAATCCTCTGGATAGGGAGGAATGCTATGTCTTCATGTGGTAGAAGATGTAAGGGCACCTGATCCCTTCCATGGGTACAGGGCCCTCATAACTCAACCTTCAGGTGGCTGCACTTTCCAATGCTGTGCATTGGAGATGAAGTGTCTTTCTTTTAAAAAAAAATTTTATTTTTATTTTATGTGTATGAGTGTTGCCTGCATGTATGTAAGTGCACCATGTTGTGCAAAGCCTGTGGAAGCCAGAAGAGGGCATTGGATCCCCTGGAATTGGAGTTTTGGACAGTTGTTAGCTGCAATGTGGGTGCTGGGAATCAAACCTGGGTCCTTTGGAAGAACAGCTAGTTCACTTAACTGCTGGAGACGAAGTTTCTAACACATGAATTTTGGGAGACACATTCAGACTGTAGTGACTTGGAAATCTTTTAGGGAGAATAGGGACAACCATTCTGTTTTTCTAGAAAACTCTCTGCTCTCTTGCCTAGAAATTATACAGTTTGGTACTAGCATTTTGTAAGTGTAGAATACAGGGCAACAGAAGGTCCTAGAGATGAGTGTAGAGCTTTCCACTGGTACCTCACCCCAGCCTTCCATATTCCCACTCTGGAGTTTCTGCAGTTGTGTTTTTCCAAAAATAAACGTACTTTCCTCCAGTGAGTGGAATTGGTATATGCAGCCAGTTGCTGGGTTGTATGGGGTAATGCTCTGCTGCTTACCCCTCCCCCACAAGGAAACTGCTACTCTGATTAGAAGGGAGAGGAGATAACAAAAATAGTCTGTCTTTTTTAGCTGACTGTGACATGCATACTTTCTAGTCAGAGTATTTTAATGTTTTAATTACTCTGTGTGTGTGTGTGTGTGTGTGTGTGTGTGTGTGTGTGTGTGTGTTGAGTATGTGTGTTCCATGGAGCACATATGTAAGTCAGAGGATAATTTTCGGGAGTCAGTTCTCTCGTTTCACCTTGTGGGTCCCAGGTTGTCAGACTTGGCAGCACTGCCTTTACTCCTGATCCAGCTCACCAGCCCAGTCAGAGTAATTTAAATGTGATCACTGAGGGCCAGTGAGATGGCTTGGCAGGTGCCAGACAACCTGAGTTCAATCCCAGGACCCTCATAGTGGGAAGAAAGAATTAACTCCCACAAGTTAATCCTCTTGACTTCCACATGTGCTCCAAGACATGCCTGTGCTCCCACCCACACACAAGATTTTAAATGTGATTGTGTACTCAGTAACACTGCCAGTCCCCTTCTTCATATGCACCGTTATGGGTTAAATAGGTTTTGATGGGCTGGCCTAGAAACCTGACTTCATCTATGATTTTTCTCCCCAGAGAAACAAGCCTTTCTTTCTGAGTCTCTGGAGGAATCACAGTAGATTAGAACCAAAAAGTTTCTTAGACCTCTCAATTTTTTTTTGAGTCACCTAGAAAATTGCTATAAATATGTCATTTTTGTTGAAATAATAAGCTCTAGTAATTGAAACAGAAACTTGAATTGTAGTAGAAAAGTTTGTGCATAAAGTTAAGCTATAAAAATTGAATTCAGAAGCCAAATCAAATTCTTCAGTCACTTTCTCTTCAGCAACTTTTTTGAAAGCAGCTTTTCTGCTTCAAAAATTAAATTAAATTCAAATCCAGTGGTAATGAACCTGTGTCACAGGAATAGCTTGTGTGGAGTTTTGTTTTCTGTTTTGTTTATTTGCTTGTTTTTGCTGTTTTCATTCCTATGATGGAAATGAGAATCTTCTGAAATTTTGTACTGGATAAGCTATACAGGTAGGCAGAGATCATGCATGAGTAAGAAGAGCCATGTGAAGCCCTTGGGTAGTCAGGATGCAGGTCAGGATGTGTGTGATACACAGAGTGCGTGAAAGTAAACACAGCACTAACTTGGCGTTTGAGTGGCCAGGCTGCTGCAGTGTAATAAACAGATCCTCTGCAGTTGTACAGCTCCAGTTTCCAGCCTTTGTCAAGGGCATCTTCCAGATGAGGCCCGCCCTGATGTGCTGGAGCAGCCTTCCACGAGCGCTTGCTCCCCAGTGGCCATGATTGTCCAGCCTCAAGGGATCAGGGACGATTAGGAAAACCAGGAGTGGTGGTTGTAATCACTTGTGTGGCTAGAACAAGGTAAGGGCAATAAATGCAGTCATTCCATTATTTTCTCTTCATTTAAAAAAAATTATTATTAACCTCTCCCCTCACCCATTCCCCAGCCTTGCTTCTCACAGAATATTGACTAGAAGACAGAGCCCATTTGTGCTGAGCCTTAAGGGCAGCTGTTTGCACAGTAGCAGTGTTACATAGGTTTACTGTGTCGTGCGTCTGTGTAGCACTGGATTTGGATCTTGTATTTAGCTGCCAGAAGTGACTGTGATGAAGTAGGAGAGATAAACTGATAGATTGGCTGCCAGAAAGATGTTAGGAATCAATCAGATAAACAGGGGAGAGAAATAGCTTGCTGTTTTCTAGTGATAATAAACCCCTGGCCTCTGGTCCCTGCATTTTAAAACGTAATTGCTGTGGTAATAATGTCCAAAATAAGGAAATGAAAAACATCACAGGAGGATTTTTAATTGCGATTGAGATATTCTTTTCCCTTGTGCAATAAAAATGCTTCTTATGGAGGTGAATATTTTTATAAATTTGTTTTATTTCTTCAGTGCCTACTTACGTAAACAAATGAAAATTAGAAAGTAAACCACTTTCATAGAAATTTATTTCTTCTCTGTCCTCCCAAAGGCTTCAGCTATTTAATTTGGTAAAATATCTATTACTACTATGCCTTACCTACAAAATAATTGCTTATTTCTGTGAAGAAACAAATTTTAAAGCCAAACCTATATTATTGATGGATGATTAGCAGGAACTGGTTTATTTTAGATTTCTTTCAAATATTTGGAATTTTAATCTCTGTTGCTATTTCTCTGCGTGTACCACTTGTATAGGAGAGATAACTAATTTTCTTAAAATTCTTCTTTAATGTTTAAATACCATGGTATCTTTTCACCTAGGACTTTAATGCAAATTCCTAAATATATAAAAAGCATAGATTAGATTCTGATGGGATGCAGTGGGGTACCCAGGATTCAGATAAGATTGGAGGTGTAATTTAGAGCTCCTGTGGAGTTTGCCATACAGGATGGAGACCTACCCTCTGCTGTACCTGTAGTGAATACAAATGACCTTTTTTTGAGTACCTCAAAATGTTTGTGACTGTGCATGTGTTGGTGTTCCATCTGGTTAAGTCACTTGGTATCCAGCATAGTAAGAGTCTGATTGTAGACAGCAAAATGATGAAGTCCACAGTGTTTTTCTTTTTTAGACAGGGTCTCCCTGTAGTCACAGCTGACCTGGAATTCACTGTGTAAACCAGGCTTGCCTTGAACTCAGAGATCCGCCTGCCTCTGCTTCCCAAGTGCTGGGATTAAAGGCATGTGCCACCGCACCTGGCTGAAGTCCACAGTCTTTTTGAGACAGGGTCTCCCTGTAGCCCCAGCTGTCCTGGAACTCACTATGTAGACCAGGCTGGCCTTGAACTCATAGAGATCTGCCTGCCTCTGCCTCCGGAGTGCTGGGATTAAAGGCATGCGCCACCACGCCCGGCTTTATTATTTTTATTGTTTTATGTGTATGAGTGTATTGCCTGCATGTATGTGAGTGCACCTGTGTTGTGCAATGCCACGGAGGTCAGAAGAGGGCTTTATTTTATGTGTATGAGTGCATTGCCTGCATATGTGCAAGTGCACCCACGAAATGCCCTCAGAGGTTAGAAGGCACTGGATCCCCTGTAACTGGAGTTACAGATGGTTTGTAGCCGCCATGTAGGTGCTGTGAATCGAACCTGGGTCCTCTGCAAGAGCAGTCAGTGCTCTTAACTGCTGAGCCATCTCCAGCCCCAAAGTCCACACTCTTAATTATTGACAGTCAAGATTTTTTGCCCAAGGAAGATCTTCTGATACTGGGGTTATAGTTCTGACGTTAGCCCTGCACCATTATCCCAGTGGTGGGAAGCTGATGCATTTCCTGCATTTCCCTCTCTGCCACATAGTCTTTCCCACCTGACCTCTGCCCGCCCCCTCCCAGTCCCCTAAACCCTCGCCCCCCAACCTGACCTTTTAAAGATTCTCCATTGTTATTGATGGTGCAGACAAAGCTGATCATAGAAACAGTGAAAATTAGAATGTTGCACACTCATTGATCCATTTGAAATGAACTGCAGTACTATCAGTCTTCCAAATGGACTTCTGTTCTCAGCTGTTGCCATAGCCACCTTTAAAAATATATAAATAAGAAAGGGTTCATGGAAATTCAGTCCTGCTGCCGCCACTGGGTTATCCCTTATTGATTGTAGTTTAAGAGCTGTCACTATGCCATTCAGAATTCCATCTGTGCCCTTTTAAAGCCGGTTGGTGCTAGGAGATGGTAAATAGCTCAGTTGCTATCCTTTTTCACCTAGCTCCTTCGAGAAATCATAGAACGGAAGACCAGCTCCTTGGATCCCAACGATCAGGTGGCCATGGGAAGGTAGGATATGGTTTTCTTCTCATTCAAGCCACAATATAGCAGTTTCTTTGAGTTCCCTTAATTCTGCCTCTAAGGCAATGATCGGTCCTGTAATTATTAGTCTGTCTTCTGTTCTTTGCTCTGAGTGTGCATTGTGATTATATCCATAGCAATCTGCTGACCAGTGTGTAGAAAACTGCCACCTAAACCCCTCCTCTCAGCTGTCAGAATGTGGCTCTGTACAACAGGTTCTTAGCACGAAGTCAAATCTGCTCTGTTATTCTGCACTAATTTAGACCTCCACCCCTTCAATAAAAGTTTCAACACAATTAGAAATGGAACGTGGCAGCATTACCCAGATGTCAGGGTAGAATGCAAAGTATAAAGAAAGGCTCTTGTGTGTATGCTTCATCGTGTGGTTGGAAAATAAGAAGGGTATTTAGAGAGCCACCTAATGAATAGCATACATTTAAATAGCCACGAGCCATCGTTTGCAAAAGCTTGAAAGGAAACAAAAGCTGCAAGTGCCAGAATGTGATTCTGGGCAGAGCAGCATTTGGAGAAAGCAGGGAAAACTTTGTGCTGATGAAATAATTCTATTTGAGTTGAATATTATTTGAATTTTAGGATAGGATGTTGTTGCTATTTCCTATGTCTTTGGAATGTTGTGGGACTGTTCACCATAAATTTAATGTGACAGAGTAAATTGTATTTAAGTGGTGATTATATTGTACATTTATCTGACTTTACAATAAAATAGATTATGGTAATTAAGATTATATTAAGATTACAGTAATTGGATTTCCCTAGATTTTTTTTTTTTCTGATGGTGCATTTTCATTGTGAGTCGGGTGAGGTGACTAGCGGCTGCTGTGGCCTCCCTTTCACATTCGTTCACAGGAGCAATGTGGGAATATTTTCCTAATAAGTATCCCTTACTTGAAAAATTAAGTTCTTCATACCTATAATGCCTACAGGTCCGTGGACCCTGATTCAAATGAACCAACTATCAAAGTGTGACAATTTGAGAAGTGTGGAAACTGACTTTTAAACATTTGATAATAAAGGAGTATTTGTGTTTAGGTGTGATATTGGTATTAAGATTATATTGAGGGAGGAGAGGAAGAGTCTTTGTTGTTTAACACTACATATTGAAATATTTCTAGATGAAATACAAATTAAGTAAACAACTGTTAAGACTAGTGGATAATTATTAAAAATTAGAAAGGAGGCGTGCCAGGTGTGGTGGTGCATGCCTTTAATCCCAGCACTCAGGAGGCAGAGGCAGGCGGAGCTCTGTGAGTTCAAGGCCAGCCTGGTCTGCATAGTGAGTTCCAGGACAGCTGGGGCTACAGGAAGACCCTGTCTCAAAAAGACCCCCCCCAAAAAAAAAGAATAGAAAGGAGGGATGGCTCAGCAGGTACAGGCACTCGCTGCCAAGCCTGGCAACCTGAGTTTGATTCCGAAACTCACATGGTAGGAGAAAACTGATTCCTGCAAATTTGTCCTCTAACCTCCATACACACACACACACACAAACCCAAAAACAATAAATAATAAATAAATAAATGTTAAAAATCTTTAGAAACAAGAAGCAAAAGCACTTGAGTGTTAGAAAAGGAAAAACTAGAGTTAGAGAGTTGGTGCTTTCAGCTCGGTCAGTCGCAGGTAGCAAAAGAGCATGTGTAGGGCTGAAACATTTGAGGAAGCCCAAGCAGCTACACTGTTCAATGGGTTTTCCTGCAGACTGGTAGATTGAGTGCTTGTCACAGCAACTCCAAATACTGAGGAGCATTGTTAACCAAATTTGCTGTAGATTTTCCCAGCTGCCATTTGTTTTTTACCACTGCACAAATCTTCTCCAATTGATTAGTCACTTTGATCCAAAACTATCTTGAAGAATTTGATGTAGGTTGGTGATTTCTTTCTGCAGGGGTGTTAGTGAGAAAAATTCCAATTTGTCAATATTCATAACTGCTTCTGCAAGTGATGATGCATAACATTGCTTGTGAATTTCCCAGGCAGTGGCTTGCAATCCAGAAATTACGAAGCAAGATCCGCAAGAAGGTAGACAGGAAAGCCAGCAAAGGAAGGAAACTAAGGTGAGTTTTTAGAAAAGCAGATTAATATGATGTGATGTATTTCATTTTGACTGTCATGTCATGTTTTGCCTTGGATGATTCTGGTTTTGTTTTTTGCTTTTGAGACAAGGTCTCTCTCTGTGGTCCAGGCTGACCTTGAACTTGCCACCCTCTGCTTTAGCCTCTGAGTGTTAATACTCAGGCATGTGCTGCTGCTCCCGTCTCTTATGAATTTTTTTTTTTAAGGGTCAGAAAATTAACAAAATGATACACAAGTGTTTTTTGTGACCCTGTTTGCTTACTCTAAATGGGAAATTGTTTATTGGATTTTTGTTCTGTTGTCAATGAATAGGTTAATGTTTCCCTGAAAGAAAAATAATAAAAAAAAAAACAAAGGCAAAATAATTGAAATTATTTTAACTTTAAAAAGACAAAAATGAAGGACTTGAGAAAATTTAACAGTGTGCTTAAATGAGATGAGGAATACAATTTTTATGGGAAACAGACTTTTTTCAATTAATTTATCATGTAATATTACATTATATTATATTGTATATTTTTTCCTGTTACCCATTTTTAAAATTTTTATTATTTTTATGTGTACAAGTGTATTGCCTGCATGCATGTAAGTGCACCCATGTTGTGTGATGTCCACAGAGGTCAGAAGAGGGCATTGGATCCCCTGGAACTGGAGTTAGCTGCCATGTGGGTGCTGAGAATTGAACCCGGGTCAGTGATCTTAACCACTGAGCCATCTCTTCAGCCCCCCATTTTAACAGTTTTTTAAAATGTTGCAAGGTTGCTCAACCATCATCATAATCCTGTTTTTATAACTTTTTTTTTGGCTATTTTAAGTATAAACTCTGTATTGGCCTAACATCTCCCTATTGTCCCTTTCTCCCATCCTTGTTCCTTAGTAACTTCTATGCTTTCAATCTCTGTGAATTCGATTGATCTAGGTACCTCATATAAAGGAATAACTCATATAATAGTAATGGTCTAGGTCTTTGTATTCCAAACATTTCTTTTTTTAAAAAAATAATTTATTGAGAATTTCATACATGCATATAAGATGTTTTGATCAAATCCATGCCCATTCCCTCACGCCCGGTATGGTGGCGCATGCCTTTAATCCCAGCACTTGGGAGGCAGAGGCAGGCGGATCTCTGTGAGTTCAAGGCCATCCTGGTCTACATAGTGAGTTCCAGGACAGCTGGGGCTACAGGGAGGCCCTGTCTCAAAAAGACAAAAAGAAAAAAAAAAAATAACACAAATCCATGCCTACTCCCTCTCAACTTCACCCATATCTCCCACCACTTTTTTTCTGATAACTTCTTATACTCTTTCTTCTTTTATATGTTTTTAAATGGGGCTTTTGGCTACTCTAACATTCCCCCCTCTGAAGAGTAACCCTAAAATTTTTTAAGAATTAGATAAAAGCTCCCAGATACTTTGGACATTTTTTGCCTTTGGAACCAAGTATGTTGTTAAGAGGCCCAAGGACATTGTAAATTTTAGCCAAGAAACTGGCTACTTTCCTTTGGAGTCTTTTTACCCTAACTGCCTAGCCAATTCCTACCTCCTGTTATCACACCATCCTCTGAAGAGGTTACCCAAATGTGGATAAGGGACTCGGGACGCAGAGCACTCTGGCTTATTCCATGCTGAGTAGGGATGCAGGGTGAGGCAATTGGAGTACCCCTTCAGTGGATCTATCTGAAAGACTCCCAAATTACATAACTCTTATCTCTAGGTGGAAAAGAAAGTCCTTGACTGGTGAATAGAAAATGTGAAGGAGAAGTAAAGGCAGGAGTAATTAGCATTACAAGTTCTAGACAGGGAACTAGAAAAAAGTCAGAACAAGGTTTTTATCTTCTAGTTTAAAACTTTCCTGTTCATCTGGTAATCCTGACTAACTAACTATTTTCTATGGGTTCCTCCTCATTTTTCTTTTGTCTGCCAAGGCTGGACTTGAGAGTGATGGATTCAGGATTTGCTTTCAGGCATTTTGATAGCTGTTGGAGTGGTTAGAATCAGTGTCAATTCCCTCTCAAAGGCTTCTAGATAGAGGGAGAAAACAAACATCCATCATTTTAGAACAATAGCTGGTTGTCTCCCTTAGCTACAGGTGGGCACTACAGTGTTGGCAACCAAGATTTGAAGTCTTACATCTGAGCAACACTCTCTGATTAGGAACAAAATCATCAATGAGAAATAATTGTCTAAATAACTTTTTATATGGGCTTAAGCCTAATGTCTGGGAAGTGTAATCCCTTGAACTTTTAAAGGAATATACTGATGACTTTACTCTTTGGTTATACTTTCCTTTTGGGTGTTTAAGACCATACATTTGGCCCAGATAAATCAATTTATTTTACCAGTTCCATGTATGTGAAGATAAGTCAAAGGCCCTACTCGACCATGTCTGGCTTTACTTGGAAGCATGGATGAGATGTTTCCTCTGAGTTGACCCTCCTCTTTGTAGACTGGGCACTGGTTCAGGTCCATCTTATGGGGTCTCCATGTCCTCCCTGAACAAGAGGACAGGTGACTCACCACAATTACTGGACATTTTGAGAGACATTCCATAGTCCGTGGAAATTAGTCGACCTTGGAGGGCAAGGGGCAAAAACTTTCCTTTAAGTCTCTCTGACCAGATTAGTATAGGCCTCAAACTATGGCTGTTAATCCAATAAGGTTAGTTCCACCAGTCTGGTACTTTTAATTACCACATGCTATGTAGATAAAGCTTGGGTAAAAAACCAAATATTCTCAGATAAACCTTGACTAGATACAACTTAAACTAGTTGACTAAACTATGACCTTAGAAATTTTAATATTATGTGTGTGTGTGTATGTTTTAATATTTATTTTTTATTTCATGTGTTTGTGTGTATTACCTGAATGTAGGTAAGTGCACCTGTGTCATGCAGTGCCCATGGAAGACAGAAGAGGTTGTCAGATCCCCTGGAACTGGAGTTATGGACAGTTCTTAGCTGCCACGTGGGTGCTGGGATTCAAACCCAGGTCTTCTGTAAGAACAGTCAGTGTTCTTAACTGCTGAGCCATCTCTTTAGCCCATGTGTATATTATTTTTGTCTTATCCTTTATATATCATAACAAACCTATACAGACCTTCATCACTTGCTTAGGCTTTCTCATTTTTTCTATTTTGGAAAATATCTCCATTTCCATATCCTTTTTAACATCTTTTACATTCTCATTTTCTTTTTCTTTTTTAAAATCATTATGAGACATAATAGCATTAACAAATAAATTTTCCATCTGTTGTGAGAATTCTTTTCCTGGGGATATTAAGCAATACTTACTCCCTTTTAAGGTTCTAGTGTCAAGCCAATGTTTGATTACAGTTTTACTGGGGAACCAGTGAATTTACTGAGCTTACTTATGGAGATAACTGAGGATTGCTGAGGTGTATGTGTGACCTGAGGGTGTGCGCACTGGAAAGCCTTTATCCAGCATGGGTCATGCCTTCTCTTCCTAGCCTTCCCCAGATTGTATAGTTTAGCCCTTCCCAAATCCAGGAGACCATGTGTGATTAGGGCCAAATTACATAACAGTTGGCTGGGAGGAGTGGCTGGATATTCTGGTGAGGGTCCAATGACTCTGCTTGGCCCTCCTTTAATGAATGAGCACAACCATCAACAAACCCAATTGTGACGATGTTTAGCGTCACAGGCACAGCGAAGTCATGATAATGGTAGTCATTTCATGCAGAAGAGACTGCTGTACAGCATCATCTTATTAAAAGGACCTGGAATTTCAAAGGATTTGGTGTTAAGATCCACATATGAGAGAGAACATTTGTTGTTTGTTTTTCTGAGTCTGTGTTACTTCACTTAGTATAACAGTTTCTAGATCCATCCATTTACTTGCAAAGTTCATTATTTCATCTTTCTTTACTGTTGACTAGACCTCCACTGTGTAAATATACCACATTTTTGTTAACCACTTGTCAGTTGAGGAACACTTAGGTTGCTTCCATCTCTTAGCTATTGTGAAAAGAGCAGCAACAAACATGGTGGTTGTACAAGTGTCTCTACAATAGGATGAGTCTTTTGGGTATTTACCAAGGAGTGGTATAACCGGGTCACATGGTAGGTTCATTTTTAGTTTTTTAAGAGTTCTCTACACCGTTTTCCATAGGGGTTGCATGAGTTTGCAATCACACCAGCAGGGAATGAGCATTTTCCTTTCTCCACATCCTTGCCAGCATTTGGTATCATTTGTTCTCTTGATCCTAGCCAGTCTCATTGGGGTAAGGTGATACCTTAGAGTGGTTTTAATTCACATTTCCCTAATTACTAACGATGTTGAACACTTTTTGAGATGTTTTTTACCCATCTTTATTTCTTCCTTTGAGAATTCTCTGTTTAGATCTTTAGCCTATCTTTTAATTGGGTCATTTTGGTTTCTCGATTCTTTGTTTTTTGAGTTCTTTATATATTCTGGATGTTAAACCTCTATCAGATGTGTCACTGGTGAAGATTTTTTCCCATTCTGTGGATTTTCTCTTCTTCACTTTTTTTATTGTTTCTTTTGAACAGAAGCTTTTTAGTTTAATGAATTCTCACATGTTGATTACTGACCTTATTACCTGAGCAACTTCTGTCTGATTTAGAAAATCCTTTCCTACACCTATATCTATAAGTTACTGCCAATATATTCTACTAATAATTTCAGGCTTTCCAGTTTCACATTGAGGTCTTTGATCCATTTGGAGTTGACTTTTTTGTAAGGCGAAAGATAAGCATCTAGTTTCATTCTTCTACAGGTGGAGATCCAGTTTTTTGAGAATTGAGGTCTTTGATCCATTTGGAGTTGACTTTTGTACAAGGTGAAAGATAAGCATCTAGTTTCATTCTTCTACAGGTGTAAATCCAGTTTTGCCAGCACCATTTGTTGAAGATGCTGTCTTTCCTCCATTGTGTGTTCTTGGCACCTTTGTTAAATATCAGGTGGCTGAAATTGTGTGTACTCGGGTTTGGGTCTTCAGTGAT